TTCCCTACAGTATTGTCACTGCACTAGAGTTTGTTTATGTCTTGGATTGGAACAAGTTACTATAATTTGTCCTCGCGTACGGATCGCTTGACATTTTTCACAAATATGGATGGAGGCCTTTTTTTATTATTTTTCATTCCATAACTTAATTCTAAATCTCTTTATTGCAAGAAAAAAGTTTCTTGAAATTGGTGGAACCTGTGACTGAGCACTCATGTTTTTGGTATTTTTAGATTTTGTATGCATCCATTTCAAAGGTGAAAAGCGTTTTCCAAGCCATGAAGAGTTGATTTGGGCATCTTATTTGTTGCATGTGTTCATTAATCTTATAATAACTTGGCGTAGGACATTTTCAGCTAGCAATTCAAGTATGACGAAATTTGCTGCTCCTTTCAGCATTCCTTACTTTTACGGTTCTCTGCTTTATGAGCTTCAATGACCATGTCAGATCCTTTCAAATTCCCGTTCTAAACATTTTTCCTCTTTCATTTTTGTTTTTTGGTGCAGTCATGCAATTCTCATTTATCTTGCTTGTGTGTTTCCTGGAGTCCCAGATCACTGGTAACTTCTGTTCCTTCTTTGTCGTGGCATCTTTAGTGATCTTCAATGAACTGCTTAAGCTTTTCGCATAGCACTGAGTTACATAGAGAATGAAATGAGTTATGCAATGTTGATGTCGGGTATTGGTGGTATGTTGATATTAACTAAAGCTGCGACGAACACGAGGAATGCACTTTATTGTTTTCTTATTCTCTTCATAGTTTTTGAAAATGCGCTAATGGTCAAATAGACACCCTGCTTTTACAAATCACAAGTAAAAAAGTTTGACAAGCTCAGCAACAACAACAGTCAACATACCTGTATTATTGTGACGCCTCCCGCCCTAGCGGCGGGTCGCCAACCTTACATTACTACTAATAGGCCGAGTTATAGTCTAATCTATTACTTATTACTAGACTATTGTCTCTTTATTTTACACCTATACGCAAGTATAATTTTTTTTTTCTTTCTTTACTTTGGCCTCGTTCACTTCACTGATTCGAGTTTTTCTACAGTAAAAAGTTCTCACAAACAATCACATCTAATTTTTTTGCTACAGTAAAAAGCTCTCACATAAAGTCACATCTCAACTCGAATTCTAAACTCGAATCAGCGAAGTGAACGGGGCATTTAACTCTCGGGTTCTTAAGATGTTTCTAGCATGTTATGTTATTATATTAGTAGTATATCTTACCAATACTTTAAGAATTCGGATATGGAACTAGTCCCCGAAAACTTGTCTTACTTATTACAGTCCGTTGTTCTTTACTAAGACAATGACTGTAGCGTCTCTTTCTTAAAACTGAATAAACATATTGGTGTTCTATATTACATTACTCTACAGAGGAATTTTTTCTAAGCGGGCGTAGTAGACACCACTCCCGTGTTCCCATTACATATCCGTCACTTTGCATTGGCCAGTCCATCAAGCAACACTGCTGTCTAACTGGCTGTTTACCTGGGTTATCTGCACACGAGTAAACTGATGAGCTAACGCTCAGTAAGTATAAACATGCACACACCATAAACTAGTAAAACTACATTAAGAGTTATGATGCAAATATGCTCATGCGAAACATGCTTTAAACTGCTTTCTGTCTTTCTGCTCTTACTACTGTGGGCCTGGGCCCCTGCTTACTGTCTGATCTAGTCAGAATCTCTACTCTATGAGATTTCCTCCCTTGGGAGGCCGACGACCCGTCAGTCTCTTTACATTACTGAACTTTGAGTTTGCATTTCAAAATGTTAAAAACTTTATTGAATGATATGCAACGTTTTTTTTTCTACGTGCACATGCTAACATAAAATGCATAATACTTCATGCATACCTTAAACTGAGCATTAGGGTAACCACATGTCATCATTTTGCAATCTAGGGCACTAAGTCCTCCAAACACTTAATATCACATCGACTTAGGAATATAAGCAAATTCATAATTCTAAGTCTAACTACGGTTTACTCGAGTCCAGACAAAAATATATGTATATACTTACAGATAATCTGCTAATATCCATGCTTGTTGGAAGTTCTTTCTTGTTGCTTCGGTTCTCGTGCCAAAATCTGTTTCATGAAAATATGCATTAACTTCCTATTCTAAATTAAAATTCTTCATACATAGATTCTTAAATCTAATTTCAAACTCATTTCTGAACCTTTTTCCTCTAAGCTGAATTTCTAGCTTAGGAGGCAATTTTCACAAATCTGTGTGTCTCGGTTTCTGAATTTCAATCTATTCATTCCCGAGCCTTTAAAACTGTTATTCATTCTTAAGAATCGAATTCCTAACTCATTGCTTACTAACTAGATTTTAAGAAATTTCGGCAGAGTTTCGCATTGTTTTACTTGTTTCCCAAACTTTCAATAGTTCGTTCTACTTCCGATTTCAGTACCTGGAGTCAAGATTCATATTCTTCAACACAAATCCTAACATAAAATTGAACAAAAACACATGCTCACCATTTTCTAGGGTTTCGGATTTTTTTAGTGTAAATCCAAAAAATTTCATTCAATCCTTTTAAAACTTACACCGTTAGACTCTTATCACAGTCCCCTACAAAATTTCGGTTTCGATTTTTAATTTTGCAGAATTTTTTTGAGATGAGTTACTATTCATCCATAATGAAAAACATGAAATTTCTCATGAAAAATCCGAAATCTTACCTCTAGAAGTTGAGATTTTCCGCTAGAACGCCTTGAGTTATGTTTCTACCGGAGTGAACGCAAGAAATTTCAGTGAAAACAGTTGATTCTTTGATTTCCCCTTTGTTCTCTCTCTTTTCTCTCTTGGTTGGCCACACTTAGAAAAAGAAGAACACTTTTTGTCTTTTAATTCCTTCCTAAGCCTTTTAAGAGCACATTTGAATATTTTATTATTATTTCTTATTACTTTTTAAATTAAAAAAATTACTTTAATTCCATAATTTAATTTTACTAATTCTACTTAAGTTTAACACTTAATTTGAGTGATTATATGTTCCTCACATTTTTCTTGTCGAGACCTAATTTTTTGTTTTTTAAAACGAGTCTTTCCGGTACCGATAATCTCACACCTGGTACAGGTTCTGGACTGTCAAGTACTATGGGTCAAACTTTTCACATTCAACCCAATTCTCTTGGGTATCTCATTAGTCACTTTCTTTTTTTGAAATTTTCATTTTTATTCATTCAGAATTGCCCAAAACGCTTACTCTTATGGTACTGGTTTTTATGCATTTTTTCGCTTTAACTGACTCGGAAAAATCCTGTTTCAGGAACTATTGCTATTTTCATTACTTCTAATATTTTTACTCTTTTTCTAACTGGTCATTTGGTCACATACCAAATATTTTAGTTTTTTATAACTAAAATATACCCGCTAAAATTTTTAACTTTTAACTGATATTTCACTATTCATAACTGATATTTACGAATTTTCTCTGTAAAAACATTCGTATTATAACTTTACACTTCTCAGGAAATTTTACCCCGTACATAAAGTTTCTACATAACATTTTCTTGATAAAGTCAAAAACTCTACTATTTTCTATTCCGAAAAGAATTATGGTCAAATGTCGGACTGTCCGGATTAGACCTAAATATGGTCAAAACGCATCACACCCCTCGTCGGTGCGACTTTTAGGAATACAGAGTCCTTTATAGAAAATTCAAAGGGTCTCCGGCATTTATCTGCATAACTCTTCTGCCGACTCTGAGCTGTCTTTAATCTTCTGCTAATCTTTTGCACTGTGTCAATGACCTCTTGAACGAATTTTGTCTTGTGAAGCTGCTTTTCTCGAGTATCATACCAATGAACTGGTGATCTACATTTCCTTTCGTAAAGTGCTTTATACGGAGCCATGCCGATGGAAGCTCGATAACTGTTATTATACGAAAATTCGATCAATGGCAACTTCATACTCCATACACCCTTGAAATCCACAGTGCAAGCGCAAAGCATATCTTCTAGGGTCTGAATTGTTCTTTCTGATTGTCCATCCGTCTGGGGATGAAACTGTAACGATCGGAAAAATTTTAGGTCTAATCCAGACAGTCCGACATTTGACCATAATTCTTTCCGGAATAGAAAGTAGGAGAATTTTTGACTTGATCAAGAAAATATTATGTAAAAATTTTATGTACGAGGTAAAATTTTTCGATAAGTGTAAAGTTATAATACGAATATTTTTACAGAGAAAATTCGTGAATATCAATTATGAATAGTGAAATATCAGTTAAAAGTTAAAAATTTTAGCGAATATATTTTATTTATGAAAAACTGAAATATTTGGTATGTGACTAAATGACCAGTTAGAAAAAGAGTATAAATATTATAAGTAAGAAAAATAACAAAAGTTTCTGAAACAGGATTTTTCCGAGTCAGTTAAAGCGGGAAACTGCTCCAAAATCAGCACCGCGAGGGTAAGCGTTTTGGGCAATTTTGAATCAATTAACATGAAAATTTCAGAAAAAGAAATTGACTAACGAGATACTCAAGAGAATTGGGTTAAACATGAGAAGTTTGACCCATGATACTCGATGGTCTAGAAATGCAGTATAGGACCTGTACCGGGTGTGAGATTGTCGGTACCGGAAAGAGACGCGTGATAAACTTAAGGGAATTAAAGTAATTTCTCAACAAGAAAAATGTGGGGAACATAGAATCACTCAAATTAAGTGATAAACTTACAAAAAATTAGTAAAAGTAAATTAAGGAAATTAAAGTAATTTCTTTAATTTAGAAAGTAATAAAAAATAAAATATTCATTTTGTTCTTAAAATGCCTAAGAAGGAATTAGAAGCCACATTTGTTCTATTTTCCTAAGTGTGCCTGACAAAATTGGGAAAATAGAGAAAACCAAGGGAAATTAAAGGAATCAACCGTTTTCACCGAAGTTCCTTCCGTTCAACCCTGTAGAAACGTAACCCGAGGCATTCTAGCGAAGAATCTCAACTTCTAGAGGTAAGATTTCAGATTTTTCATAAGAAATTTCATGTTTTTCGTTTTTGATGAATAGTAACTTATCTCGAAAAAAATCCGCAAAATTAAAAATCGAAACCGAGGTTTTGTAGGGGACTATAATAGGAGTTCAACGTGTAAGTATTGAAACGATTGAATAAAATTTTTTAGATTAACACTAAAAATCTGAAAACCCTAGAAAATGAAGAACATGTGTTTTTGTTTAATTTTATATTGAAATTTGTGTTGAGGAATGTGAATCTTGACTTCAGGTACCGAAATCGAAAGTAGAACGAACTATTGAAAGTTCAGGAAACGAGTAAAACAATGCGAAATTATGCCGAAATTTTCTAAAATCTAGTTAGTAAGAAATGAGTTAGGAATTCGATTCTTGAGAATGAATAACAGTTTTAAGACTCGAAAATGAATAGATTGAGGTTCAGAAACTGAGACAAATTGTGGGATTTGCCTCTTGATCTAGAAATTCAGCCTAGAGAGGTCAAATTCAGAAATTAGTTTGAAATTAGATTTAAGAATCTAAGTATGAAGGATTTTGATTTGGAATAGGAAGTTAATGCCTATTTT